ATAAGTGAGAAGTCAATTTCGGTGTCAGCGATTTTTATATTTCCCATAATGGTAATCTTTCGAAGTTGAATGGTCATTCAATATTTTAAAAAGACGCAACCATTGAATTTTTTTTTTATTGTGTCTAAGTGAGTGAGCGTACAATATCACGCACATTAAGGATGAAAGACACGCATATTAAAGTGTTTAGGTGTGCATATGAGTGAATGAAACGACGGATTTTGCTATTTAAACCCACCATTATGCTATTCTCAAATCTGTCACTTACAAACACATTTTGCATTTGTATTTTCCCTTTTAGGAAAATTTTCAATGGCCGCTGATCTACACTCTGAAATTGTTGGTAACTAACTTCGGATAGCACTTCGGTGGAATTACATGAAGGTTCGAGTTGTTCGTGTGGTTCGGCTGCCAGAATCAAAAGGTTCTGAAAACATCAAGTCTATAGAGTGTGCGTTGCATGATTTTGAGGTATTTTTTTTATTTACCATATTATAAATCTTAATATTTTATATTTCTAAAATTTACTGTTGATGCATTTTTTTTAATAATTTCAGGGAACTGTTGTACACATGCACATTCCACAAGTGCATGTTCAACAGTGCTTCAAAAAATTTCAAGTAGGCAAAGCCTATATGATAAATAGATTTGACGTGGCGTATAACACCTATAGAAACAAAACTTCGCCTCTCAGGTATATGTTGGTGTATTGTGATAGAACTCGCGCAGGAGTACTGAGAGATGATGAGTTGCCAACATATGTTTATGATGGAGAAGAATACAATTTCGACGAAGAGGTGACCTATTGCATACTTACATTTTTTTATATAATTTTATTGATGTATTTACAGTTTCATAACTTTCACGATTTTATGGATCAACAGGTGCCCGACGCGACAGTTGCAAATTTGTGAACATTTTCTGTTTTTCATGTTATTTATTATTCTGTATTATTGTACTCCAAACAATTTTAATTTGAATGAAATATTATGTTTATTATGTTTATTATGGTGATATATTATGTCATTATTGACGCACCTTCGTTTATGATTGATACACATAATAAAGTAAGTGAGTGTACAATCTCATGCACATTAAGAATGTTAGATACACACTAATAAAGTGTTAACATGCGCATATTAATTAATAATAAAGTTTTCTAAAGTTGATTGGTCATTCAATACGTAAAAAAAAAATAAAAATGCACCCATTGATTTTTTATTTATTTATTTAATTTTTATTTTTTATCGGGTCTAAGTCAGTGACTTTACAATCTCATGTACATTAAGAATGAAAGATGCGCATAATAATGTGTTGACGTCCGGATATTAGAGAATAAATTGAAGCATATTCTTTTAAGAATACCCAAGACTCACGTATTTTCTAATGCACATTATGTTACTGTGTTGCGCATGTTAAGTTTTTTTTTTTTTATTTGCCACGGACTATCGTTTAAATAGATAACGAGACACAAATTTTGTTGCATTATTACGCATATTGAGCGTACGTATTGCGCATGTCAAGCTTTTTGCTTGTTTTTAATTTTCAAGAATTGCTCTTTAACAGTTTTTTAATATAATTAATATAACAGATGAGCCCACTGGTGAAATGGTAGAAGCCTTTAATCAAACTGATTCCACCCAAGTTTGAACCCCTATAAAGGCTTGACTTTTTTTATTATATTTTATTTGTTTTCCGTTTAATAAAATATAATAAACGCATGTTAAGGTGATATTTCGCGCTCTTTAATTGGTTTCCCGACGCACTTTAAACTGTTGGCTTAAAAAAATATCGTATTTCGATAAAAGTTAATCAAATGTAAATTTAAACATATATTGTTCTTGTTGTCCGCGCATGTAACGGAGCAAAGGAAAGCATATTAAGTGTTTTATAACAATCCACGTAATATTCAAAGATATTTGATGTCAGAACTTTAAGGCATTTGTAGTTGGGGAGACGGATAACATTGAATGGCCATTCAATGCCTTAAAAAACGCGCCCATTCATGCAACATTGAAATCTTCAAATCACCAAGTTATTCGCCTATAAATTGGAAAGAACAACACACAACCGAGCATCAGTTTTCATTGAAATGGCTACCTCTTACATGTCCGCACGTACAGAAGAGCCATTTTCTTTTATTCCTCATCTTTCATGTCCTCTTCACCCCCCTCGCCCTCCAGATTGTAGTGACTGTAAATAAGTACAAAGACAACACATTCTAAACCTGAAAGAACACTCGTCATCCTCAGCTGCAAGCTCGTCATGCTGCAACCAAACATCATTCAAGGCTGAGAGAGTTGAGCATCCGACATCCCAAATAATAGCTACGGCTGCCAGGAATCTATCATATACAGCAAGCTTAGAGACCACGAGCCTACATGCATCCACACTCCTTGCTCATGTCCAAATCGAGCTTGTAAGCTCAGCTGCAATCTCATCAAACATCATCCAAGGCTTAGAGTTCAGCATTGTGGCAGGTTGGCAACATGTCGGATGATGCTGGAACTAGAAGAAATGTCTTCAAAGTACTAGGAAAGATGCACTGAATGTTATTGGTGTTGTTTCAATGTCTATTTACGTTTATAAATACTAATGTATTAGAGTGTAAATTATTATTTTTATTAATATAGAAACCAACGCTCATTGTGTTCCAATATCACGAATTTTAAATTGATATGTCGCGCATGTTACATTCAAAGCATATATGTGTCATTTTATATGCAAATTATTTCATAATCAAACAAACGCACTTTAAGTTTTGCAATCGCGCATACTAGACTAATTTTCAACGCAATGACTGAGTAATTACGTTTTTATATATAAACCAACGCACATTAATGCACAAGTCTTTGATTAAACCAACGCACATTACGTTTTTATACATAAACAAGCTCTCATGTCTGCCTCTGTTGTTGTTATTACTAATATATTATAATCAAAGTAACAGATGAGCCCACTAGTGAAATGGTAGAAGTGTTTGATTAAACTGATTTCGCCTAGGATCAAACCCCTATAAAGATTTGAACTTTTTATTATATTTTACTTGTTTTTGGTTTAATAAAATATAATAAATGCATATTAGACTGATATTTCGAGCACTTTAATTGGTTTCCCGACGCACATTAAACTTTTGGCTCTAAGTCAGTGAGTGTACAATCTCATGCACACTAAGAATGATAGATACACATAATGAAGTGTTAACATGCGTAGGTTAATGAATGAATTGAAGCATTTTCGTTTAAAAATCCTCCCACGCACATTCAAATATTGTTATACGCATTTTGAATTATATTTGATACACATGTTAGGTTTTACGTATATTCACACGCATGTTAAGTGTAAATATAACGCATATTAGAATGATAAGGTCAGTTAGATATGCACATGTTATTGGAAATAAGTGACAAGTCAATTTCGATGTCAGCAATTTTTATATTTCCCATATTGGGTCTAAGTCACTGAGTGTACAATCTCATGCACACGAAGAATGAAAGACACGCATAATAACGTGTTTAAGGTGCGCATATTAGTGAATAAATTGACGCATATTCGTTTAATAATACCCAATCGAACATTTTCATATCAACAGTCGCATTCTACTAGACTCAAAGTTGTCACATACGAACAGTCGCATTCGTTTAAGAATTTGCTATTTAAATCCACCATTATTCTCGACTCAAATCCACCATTAGTGTAATATAAATCTTAATATTTTATATTTATAAAATTTACTGTTGATGGATATGTTTTTTTTTTTTTTTTTTTTTTTAATAATTTCAGGGGACTATTATTTATATGCACATTCCACAATTGTTTGCGCAAAGGCGCGTCAACAGATTTGTGGAATGAAAAACTTATCTACTCAGTAGATTTGACATGGTCTATAATACCTATAGAAACAAGACCTCTACTCTCTGGTATATGCTGATGTTCTGTGAGAGAACTGGTGTAATATTATTGAAAGAAGATGCTGAGTTCCCAACATATGCTTATGACCGAGAAGATTATAATTTCGATCAAGAGGTGATCTACTGCATACTTACATTGTTTTCCTTTTTTTTATATATAATTTTATTGATGTATTTACAGTATAGTAACTTTCACGATTTGATGGATGAACAGGTGCCTGACGCTCCTGTTGGAAACTTGGCTAATGAGGATTTAATCAATGAGGAAGCTGCGTAATAAGGATGAATAACGACGAAAATATCAAGATTTTTATGCGTATTATGTCATTATTTGTTGTTATTTTCATCATACAATTTATTAATGAATAAACTTTATATGTTATCATTTTATGTCTATTATGTGATCTATTATGTTATCATTGAATATTGCCTTTGAACGCATATTAAGCTTTAATGTCGAGCAAGTTAAATGTTAATCGACGCATGTAAAGACGTTGGCGTTTACCACGGACCAAAGTTTCTATACATAATCCCACGCACATTCTGTTTCTGTACTATGCATACTAAAGTTTAATGTAGCGCACGTTAAAAGTGTAATCAACGCATATTAGGAATTAACTGCACGCAGGTAAAGTAGTAATAACATGCACATTAAGCTAGTAGCAGTGATTGTTAAACACAAATCAGTGATAAAAACAAAAATTAGTAATAGCTGGACATTAAATTCAAGTATCTCAACTGTAAAAAGCATTCTGAAATGAGTTAACACAGTATATGTGTTTCATATTTGCTATCCATTTTCGTCCTCGACTGTAAAGGCATTGAAAAAATAGTCTGCTATGCCTTTTTCTTACCCTTTTGCTTGTCCTTATTTTTGGGGTTAAGTGGGCAAGTCCTGGTGTCATGGTGATCTCCTCTAACACCACAAAAATTGCACTTCCTGCCCTCTTGTTTTTCCATTTCCAACTCCTTGCTGCTTTTGATACGCTTGCCGCTGCCCTTGTTCCTTGCCTGTTTCGGTGGGAGTATGTTGATCTCTGAAATTTCTGTTGATCCACAATATGATTCTATAACAGTCCTCCTGCTGTGCTAAGGGGACAATTTCTCCTTTCCTGACAGTAGCAGCTGTTTCTGTTCATTAATCACTTGGGAAAATGTAGTCAATTGCTCCATGTTTGAACCTGCCATATCCATACAACAGTGTTTATCAGACCACACTTTGTTCAGCAACATCTTCTTTTCATCCTTTGGTCCATTCTGATCATAAATGACACCATCTATTTCAAATGTAGCTTTTAAAGATACATCCTTAGTCCACCGGTTAACCACGTACTTCAGAGGGATCCTTTCAAGGTCTCTAAAGACCACAAATATGTGTCTACACAATAGTCCAACCATCTCAAACATCTTGCAACTGCATTTGGCCTCATGGTCATTTACATTGTGCACCACAGTAAATCTTTTGTTCTTTCCATCCATAATATCATAGTGCAACATTCCACCGTCTTCTCTAACACTCAACACCATACATTTGAAACAGGAGGCACATATTTCTTCCTGAACTTGATAGAAAACAGTAATGGTGTAGACGATTGAAGCGTGCTTTTCAATCCCCAGAGGCGTCTTTAATCTCGATTGTAGCGTTCGTTGTCACTGTTGAGCTTTGCATTTGTGTTACGTTGTGATTTAAGGGCACTGTCAAAGTTCATCATGAATTCAACTAGGCTTGATTAGGGACCAGTAAAACGGCTGTACGTGTAGTTCTCACTTTCGGAACGAGAAGTTGTTCTGAGTAAACCCCCTATAAAGCTATCTCTAAAATACGCTGGGATCCAATGCTTTCTAGCCTCAAACATAGTTGTAAACCAATTGTGCTCGACTAAGTTGTACTTTTCCATGAGCTCTCTCCACTGCTTCTCAAAATCAGGAGGTTCCAAAGATGACGTCCAAACGATTGAGTTCAGTTTGTTCCTGAATTCCTCATCCTTGTTCAGCGTAGGACCCACCTTTTCCCCAACTTTACACATGATGTGCCACATGCAATAACGATGCCTGGCTTGCTTGAAAACTGTTGGAATCGCCACTTTCATAGCCGGATCTTGATCAGTGACAATTATTCTTGGTTCCATACCCATTGCCTTTTTAAATTTTTCAAAGAGCCAAACATAAGACTCAATGTCTTCTTTCAACAGTAGTCCAGCACCGAATGTTATACATTTTTTATGGTTATCAACTCCGGTGAAGGGTGTAAAAACCAGATCGTACCTACAAGACAAAAAGCGTCATCACAGTATGCAGGTGTCAAACTGCCGCACTTAGAGAATTATAGTAACGCACATTAAGTATTAAAATAGCACACATATGTAATTGAGGTCTAATTCTGGAAATTCCGCATTAATATGCGAGACAGTAGCGTTTAAAATGCGTGGTATAAAACGACAATGTGCGCTTATTTATATTTCAACTCTTTTTCAATAAAACAGTGAACGTGTATAAATCTTAACATGGCTCAACAGATCAAGCAATGCTAAGTGTGTATTAATTAATGAAACGTACGCAAGAATGTGAATAGAATAATATATACCTGTTACTTGTGGCATCAAAAGAGACAACATCTCCAAATGCAGCAAAATTCTTTTTTGACATTGGATCTGCCCAAAACAGTCTGCTCATCTGCTCATCTTCATCAACTTCGTAGTCAAAAGCAAATGCAGGGCACATCTCTTGTTTCTTAATAAGATTATGCACCAGTATTTGTGCAATGTGAGGAGTCCAATACTGTGTCATTCCAGGAGATATGGTTAATGTATGACCATTGCTGCTGCTGTTGGGACTCAGACTGGGGTTGTTGATAGATTGAAAGTCACTGGGAACTGTAACGTATAAGCATGAAGTTATGATTGTGTTGTTGCAAGCCTCGTAATGTGAACACTTAATATGCGTTAAGTTAATCAGATCATTATGAATATGGCAGATTTATAAAATACAAGAGTATGTGCGGCAAGTGGGAAATTAACGTGCTTCAGGGTAATAGTTAAAGTGCGCATGTTGAACAGTTAACATGCGTGAGTGTTTGTTAAAATATTATGTCATTACTTAACATGCGTCAGAGAGTCCAGTAACATAACATGCATCTGGAAATGAATTAATGTGCGTGTGCTCAACGGATAACATGTGTGAGGCAAACAGTAATATGTGCATTTTTAAAAATTATCATGCGGCTACCTAATCATCTACGTGCGTAAGGCTCTAGGCTCGGATTAATTAAAGTAGCTCAGTAATTTGGTGGTAAAGTTGCATGCATGTAGTGCTTAATGTGCGTGTAATTAAGACAAGAATGATGCCAATACAAGTGCAGATAAAATTAATTCCAGAAAAGCGATAGAATTTGGGTAATACCTTGATCGAATTCTTCCATTGTTCTTCGTTTGACATTTTTGATCGGTTTAGGGTTTATTTTGATGAATATGATATTGAACGACAAAGAGAATAGATCTTATTGCCAATTCCGTAGAGATCGTAAATTCGTCTGAGATTAGGAAATATAGAAGATTAGGAATCAATGGTGAATTTTGAAAACGCTCGAAGCAGAAGAACAACAGATTTTTTTTTTAATATAATCAAAAGGACAAAAATGCCCTTAATGAGCAATTCACGCTTAATTTTTGCTATTAATCTGATTTGTTCGATCAAGAGCTACGTGGGGCTTAGATTCAACCTCATTATTCACGGGAAGGAGTAAATGCACGGGAGCCCTTCCCTATATATATATATATATATATATATATATATATATATATATATATATATATATATATATATATATATATATATATGTACACGTTGGTCCCGGTAGGGTCGAAAGAGAGTCTAGAGGGGGCGGGGGTGAATAGACTCTAATTGATTTTTCAAAGTGACTCCTTCCGGAGTGATGCACAGCGGAATAAAACGTTTCGTTTTAGGTTTACTTTGCACACTTTCGTTATGAGTTCTTAATGTTTGGTCGATATGATATGCAATGCACGAAAGATAAAGAGCAGTAAATAAGGAGAGATAGAGAGAGAGGGAGAGATTTTTATAGTGGTTCAGCTGTTAACGAAGCCTATCCACTCTTCTTTCACAACTTGTGAAAGGGTTTGCACTAATCCTCCTAGTACAAACTACTTCAAGCTAGCTTCCTTGATCACTAAGCCGGACAACTACTTGATAGGTTTTTAAACTCCTCGAGTCTACTCCGCCTCTATCCACTTCCTCCTCAAGGTTGAGTGTTGGAAAGAATATGTTGAGTTTCTCTAGCGATTTGAAGTCTTGACTTGATGGCTGGATGAATCTTCAAATAATGAACAATGCAAGACTTCTTCAGGCTTGTGAAGTATGAGCTTTATGTGATCTTCTTAAGATTGCAACAGTTGAACAACCAACACCTTCTTCAATGGCGAAGAGAGATATTTATAGGTGAGGAAAAATTCATCCGTTGGAGGGAGATAAAGATTTCGAACCTATTAACCAGTGTGTTTTAACCAGTGGGTATTGAACATTTAATGTATTTGTACTGTGTAGTGATAAACATTATTTTTGTTGTTATTTTAAATAATCTTTTTATAGTTAAGTTGCAAATAATTCATTAATTCTTATCTATTTTTATTTATTATTGCTATAGGTAGTTTTGTTTAATATTGTTAATTTTTGGGGTTGTAATTGTTATTAAATTAGTATTGTTATTAAAATTTGTCAGTCCAATAATTTCCTAATCTAATTTAATAATAATTAGGTTTAGTAGTACATAGTCAGTAGGAGATTAATAAGTGTAGACCAGTTAAATGTGGACTCTAATTTATTTAAGCTTTTGTTTTTATTTAGTCTTATTATTTAATTTCTCATTAGATTTAATTAGATAGAATTAGTCTTGTTTACTCGTCAACAACCAAGCGGAAGAAGAGATCTCAAAGTTTCCGATCGGCAAAGAGCGATTTTGCTGTGCCCCTCACCGTTCGAACAGAGTGAAAGAGATGGTAAGGTCAGAAATTAGGGTTCAGAGAGAAGAAGAAGAGGAGAGTTAAGGGGAATAGACTTCATTATTTGCATAAAAAAAACCTCCATTACACCTGCTAGGAATTTAAAGCAGAAAGCAACAACAAAATCCTCTATATTCTTGGATCACAACCGCTATGCCTGTTGGAAGGGATGAGCTGGATTTCATCGAAACGGCTTCGTCGTATGCCTGGCACAACGGCACACGACTACATGAAATGATGCCATTCTATTTATTTGATTCAACGGTCTCAACTGCCGACCCAAACGACGTCGTCTGAAGCCCTATTTCAACGGACTTAACCCCCATTTCCTGCGACGTCGTTTGATTGTTTCCAGTTGTATCCATTTTACAGTTATCTTCTTCTTTCTTCTGTGTACCACCTTTCCTCCCACTTTCCATGCTATTAGCTTCTCCATCTCCATTCGTTGCAATTCCTCCCCCATCAGCCGATCCTTACCCCCAAGGATCGAATGAAGGAAACTGACTTTTAATGTGATAATAATTCTCCCATGTGGCATTTTCCTTTGGTAGATTAGCCCACTGGACCAATATTTCTGTGATTGCCTGATTGTTTTGCTTCACCAATCGCTTCCCTAACACAACTATAGGCCCAGCTAGCACCTCTCCTTCCTGACCTACTGCTGGAGGGTCTAATTGGGCTACCCTTCCACCTCCTATTTTCCTTTTGAGCTGGGACACATGAAATACAGGATGGATTTAAGCTCCTACTGGTAATTCGAGCTTGTAGGCTACAGTTCCAATTTTCTCCAGTACCCTGTAAGGGCCATAGTATTTTGAAGAGAGTTTCAGGTTCTCCCTTACTGCCACTGTGAGTTGTCTATATGGTTGAATTTTTAGAAAAACCCAATCACCCACCTTCAACACCCTTTCACTCCTCCCCTTGTCTTCTTGCACCTTCATTCTATTCTAAGCTTGCTTCAAATTTTCCTTGAGAGATGATATAATAGCTTCTCTTGTGGTTACCCAAGCCATATCTCCTTCTCCTGGACATGCAGTGATAGCCATAATGGGAGGAATGTACCCATACAAGGCCTGAAATGGTGTACACTTGAGAGAAGTGTGGTAGTTTGTGTTGTACCACCATTCAGCAAAATGTAACCATTTTGCCCAAATTTTTGGCTTTTGGAATACCATGCACCTCAGACAGCTCTCTAAACACTGGTTCACCTTTTTTGTTTGACCATCAGTTTGAGGGTGATAAGCTGTGGACAAGTTCAACTTAACTTGCACATTTTTAAAGAGAGCCTACCAGAACCTGCTAGTGAAAATTTTATCTCTATTAGAAATGATGCTCCTGGGAAGGCCATGAAATTTATAAATGTTCTCCATAAACAGTTCAGCAACCACCTCTGCAGTATAAGGATGAGTTAATGCCAAGAAATGAGAATACTTAGTTAGTCTATCCACTATTACCAAGATGACATTCCTGTGATTGGACTTTGGTAACCCTTCTATGAAATCTAGGGATATA